ACGGTGCAAAAAGAATTTTGTTTTTGCACAGTCGGAAAGTCGGCGGACTGACATCGGCGACTTTCCGGAAGGATGGGGCCAATGCGCTATCTGAAAGTTTGCTGAAAATGGTAGGGCGCAGCTCGGAAAACGGACACGGGCGCAGCTCGCATCTCGGGGGCAGCTCGGAGAACAAGCTTTCGCAGCTCGCCGGAGCTAGGTTTCACCTTGTTTTCGAGCTGCGCCCAAGACGCGAGTTGCGCCCGTGCAAGTTTTCCGAGCTGCGCCCTACCATTTTCAGCTTTTAGCAAACTTTCAGATAGCGCATTGGCCCCTGGTAAGCTGCTTGTCAAGACTTTTTGAGATTAGATGGCTGGCTGTGTCTGCTTTGAAAATACAGTGAAGCCTCTGTACAAGAAAACCTGTCTACAGCCAACAATTTTTGATGTCCCATAAGCCTATTTCAGAGCAAAAAAATTAGCCTTTCTAGAACACACCCTTCTATCAGTCTGTCGGGAAAATAATGAGCAATCGAAAATCGCATCGCCTCCGAGAAAATAAATTGTGGCGCGGCAAAATCATATTTCTTTTCACTTCAGCGACACAATTGACGCAACGACATTGCGGTCATTATTTTCCAGACAGACGGACATAACAAATTATTGTTTTTGTTTCCTTAAAATTTGTTGTACAGAGGCTTGACTGTAAAAAAAAAAGTTAAAAAACTTCAACTGTTTTTTCAACCCTCCCAAGAAACGTTACTTTTCCCGGATTTGAGCGCAAAAACGTAAAGTTATGAGCGTCTTAATTAAATTTTCAACTCGAATTTCGCGCCTTTTCTCAATTTTCCGCGAAAATTCGCTCGGAAAAAAGGAGGTTTTTAATCAAATTAGGGATTAAAATTCGAAAAAATTGGAAAACAATTTTCAAAAAAATAAAGACAAAACAATTTTTTTGACATTAAAATTGCCATCGAACTCAAAAGTTTTACCGGCCGAAGCCAAAAGGCCCGATTATTTCCTGAATTTTTGAAATCATAATCGCCGGAAGGCGGATTTCAACGTCGAAACGGGAATGAAGGCCAATTTGGAAAGGGCTCTCCGCCGGAATTTTGTGGTCCGGCCCGACCAATTTTGTGGCCCAGCCCCGGTTTTAAAGGGCATTCGGATTTTGATGGAATTAAAAGAATTTTGCATTTATTTTTTTTTGCAAGATTACATCAAAAAACAAAAAAAAATGTCTGATCTCCAAAATAGAATAAGTAAAATAGAAGAACCCAAGGTTTTTGGTATCCGGAGGACCCGTTACACATGAATCCAGTGCATTTTCTGAACCGTTTAGGTGTCTCGTCCACACACTACCGATTTATTAGTAAATTTTAGGGCGGGCCCACAGGCAACCACTTTGCGTGCGGCTAGAAGAACCGCGGAGATTCTGCGGGCATGTTCGGAAATCAACTAACACTTCTTGCCTACAATAGAAAATTCTAACGACGGACCTTTGCTTACAGTAACCCAAGACCGAAAAAATATTTAACAAGGAAATTTCTACAGTAGGGGGCCTGATCCATTGGCAAAAAACGTACCATTTTGCATCCGGGAAGTATCAAAAATGTGGGAAAATGCCTCCTTCTCCACCTAAAAAAACTCCGTTTTGAGCCTTTCCCTCACAAAAAGAGTTACCGCACTTTTGAAATCGGAGTTTTTTCACTTGGAGAGGGAGGTATTTTGCCGCATTTTTGACACTTCCCGGATACAAAATGGTACGTTTTTGGCCAATGGATCAGGTCCGACATTGTATAAAAGATTTTGCGATTTTTTTGATATATGTCTCGACCTGTAACTCCATACCCCATAGAAGTAATTTCCTTGCAAAGATGAAGAATACCGTATTTTACCCTCGCGCCTCGCCCACTTGGCCCCCGCCAAAAAATGTTTGTGGCCAGAAATTTTCAGAAATTCAAAGAAATCCAACGCCCCGCAGCATTTCGCGGAGCGAAACATGAGATCGTTATAAGGCATCAACCATTCCCCGAGATTTAAAAAAGCCAATTTGAGGATGGATAGTTGAGGCGAGCGAGGGGCGAAAGCGCAAGGTTTTATATCTTACTTTTCTCGCATAAATTATTCAGCGGCCGTAAACGTGCAGAGCTTGTACAAAGAAGGGGTGTGGGTAACAGAAAAAAAATGTTTTTCGAAAAAAAAGTTTTTTTGGTTACTGTAGTCTGTAAATATGTATTACAGACCAAAAGTTAAAAATTTGAAGAATCGACTGGTCGATAATTATCTGTCTGTCGGGAAAATAATAAGCACTAATTGCGTCGCTGAAGCGAAAAGCAATTTGATTTTGCCGCGACACAATTCATTTTCTCCAAGGCGATGCGATTTTCAATGTGAAAGAGTGCTCATTATTTTCCCGACAGGCTAATATTAGTATTTTCATTAAGTGTGTGGGGCCAATTTAGGATTTTTTTTTTTTGAGATTGTAGGTCCAAGGTCGACAAAAACGTCTCCTTTCTTTGTGAATTTTGCCATAAAAAAGTTCATGCCCATTTATACCATAGAGATACCGTAATGTTCCTACAAAAAATCAATTTTTCCACACGAATTTTTCTGCTCTGCCTGCAAAATGTGAGCTAAAATTTTCAAAGTTTATGTGTGTCCAAAATATGCGCAAAATTGAAAGAAAATCTGGGCGTACTTTCTGGTGTCACGAGTTCAGTGAGAGCACGTGTATATAGGGTCAATGTTCTAGTTGCTATTTCCGATCCCAAGCCCGAACATTACTATACAAACAACGATGACAAACGACTACACAAACTATGACAAATGACTAATTATACTCAGGAAACAACTTCACAAATGAACTCACAATACTTGACTCCACCAACACAAGAGTTGACCATAGACAAATCAGTAATAGGCAATAGAAAATACGACGGTTTATTGCACACAACACAACATACAACCGGGAATAGACAGACACAAAATAATCATTGATTGGGCGATTTCTCTTCCTTTTACACCAATTTGTCGGTCATTCCGTGGGAATATGCAAATTCGCATGCGAAGTCACTGGACAACAATTACGAATCATCTTCAAAAAGTCAGCCAAATACTAGTCCGTTCCTAAAGTTGCTGGAGTGATTTTTGGCGTTTACGCCGCGCAGAAAAACTCAAGGTGCGGGCGATAGCCCAAAAAAGCCTATTGCACGGTGCAAAAAGCAACAGCTTGCACAGTGCAAACTGAACTTTTGTTTTCTCACAGAGCACGTCGCATAAACCACTCCAGTCAAATTTACAAAAAAGAAAAAAAATCTAGTATCCCAGCCAAATAAATTCATTTACATCTTAAAGATCCCCACCCAAAGTGTCTTGTGAATCTTGAGGGCGCGAGAATTTTTTTGGCCCACTCTTCGTCGGCATTAAAAATGCATAATTCTCAACTTTTTTTATCTCATTTTCATTGGGCCCCCGAATTTTCGAAACGAAGACGCCTCGAGCCGAAATTATTCAAAAATTCATTTTTCAATTTTTTTTCCCCGCTCTCTTCTAAATTCAGTAATGCAAAAAATTGGAGGCTTGGAACTTGAAAGCGCGGTCTTACCGTAGACAATTTGTTTTTATGGCCAGAGTGAGAAAATTGATACATTCTGCACGTGTATAGAAGGTGAAAAACATGCAATTCAGGGCAAATACCGCAAGTGTGACACTCATTTTTTAAATTTTTTGCAAAACCTTCAGGCATAGGCCACATACCAGCATTTTTTTCATCATAAAGTACATAGATTTTTTGTCGTGTGCCGCACTCAGCAAGAAAAATATCATTTTCACAGTGTATGTGACCGCACGTAATAAAATTGCTGCGACGAAAGCTTTTTCCCATTGCGCCGCCGCGAAATTCACGACAATTTCACGGTGCAAAAATTTTTTGAAAAGCATTGCGTCGCGCGAAGAAAGCAAAATGCACAGTGCAAAAATCCACGCACTTTATGAAAATATGAATAGTCGCTCCGAAAACCTCGTCGCCGGACTGACTTTGGCGACATGCTCTGTGCACGTAAAATACGACCACAAATTTTTTCAGCCAATAGTGTAAGTAAAAAAAACGAATAAAAACCAAGACTACTTCAGTCGCCATCGTATGGTTGAAATTTTAAGGCGGTTTGAAAAACAATATCATTATAATGAGACTTTGGTTTTCTTGTGTGGCCATCTGCGACCTTGCTGACATTGTGGTTGGAACCGAGTGGCCACGTTAACAGGGGAAGTACTCAAAGTGCGACGCTCAGGTTTTGATGAAACTCGGCTCAAATTTAGAACAATTTTTTCTAAGATATATGCGAGAATCCTAGTTCGCGCTTTGCAGAAACAACCGAGATTTTTAGATCGAAATTCGGCCAAAATTTAGGACTTTTTGCCGAATTTTGGCACGAAAAATTTCATGTCTGTTTCTACCGTAAAGGATAATGTTTCTACAAAAAATCAAATTTTTCCGCACGAAACTGCCAAAGTTATGGCCAAAAAGCGCCTTTCTCTCTGACCGCTCTCCACGTTTAGCGTGCTCTCTCGGCGGCAAAGATCGTTCGATATCTCGGCCGCGCCCGCAAAGCGCGGGCTAAAACTTTCAGGAATTGATATCTAGTCCATACCCGACGTGTATGCAAAATTTAAAGAAAATCCGAGCGTCGCACTTCCCCTTTAAGATTAAGAGCAAACTTCGAAATTTTTGATCTTACAGGAAAAGTTCTGTGCGACGCTGTTTCTATATGCAAAAATTGGCAATAATGCAGTGCAAATTTTAAAAAAATCTATAAAAATTTAATGTACAGTTCATCTCCGGCATGTGTGAAAAAGCTTTAAAAATCTGTCTTTGATCAATTCCCTTGAGAGGCCTTTATTATCTGCAATAAAATTACATAAATAAAATTGGCCAGAATCGACGTAAATATTATGTTTATCTAGTTAAAAAAGCAGCGAACAAAATTTTCCGATCTCACAGCCAAATACAACAGGAGGATTTTATTTTATATTATATTGTAGGGTTGATTGATGCTCAGGAGTACTGGATGGAGTTGAGGAACACGAGCCGCTAAAATTGAAAAAAAATAAAAATTGAAAATCATATTTTTTTTTAAAATACGTTATGAAAACTTGATCATTATTTTTTATTTTTTTAGAAAAAATATCTTTTTTTAATTATTTTTTTAGACTATGCTATTTTTATTTTATTTTTTCTTATCAAAAACTTGTTTAGAAGTATTTTTCTGAATTTTTCTGTATTTTTGAGATTTTTTTTTATTTTTTTTCGGCTATTACTCCCAAAAATTTCAAAAAATTCCAAAAAAAAAATACAAAAAAAAAAACATTTTTTTTATTTTTTTATTAAAAAAAAGCATTTAGTTTCATTATTTTTTGTCATAAAAATTACAAAAATATATTTTTTTCAAATTTTCGATTTTTTTTTAATTTTTTCCTGCTACTTATCCTCAAAACTTCAAAAAAATCCCCGCCAAAACAACAAGTTCTAGATTTATTCGACCTTTTCTTCAAATTAAATTATATTATTTTAAAAAAAAAAGATTAGAAAATTGCTTCGAAATTCTTCGTACCGTTCGAGAGTTAAAAATCGAGATTTTTTACAGTGGAGTCGAGCTGGATGTTAAGTGTGGAGTTGGGTGGGGGCGGCGTAGTGGTGGTTCAACCGAAACGAACAAAGGTTTGAGCACGTTTCCCGAAGCGGACGAACGTTTGCGCGCGTTTCCCGAACCGCACGAAGGTCTGGGCGCGCTTCTGGGCGGGCAGCTCGGCTTCGGGCGCCGATTCAACAACTTGCTCTTGACCTGAAAAATGTCGGGAAATTAGTTGAAGATACTGTAAGGGGTGTAAAAACATTTTTTTTTGATTTTTTTGGATTTTTTGATGGAAAAAAATTTTATTAAAAAATTTTTTTTTGAAATTTTGTAAAATTTAGCCCTCAGGCAATGTCCAAATTTTTTCTGTAAGTCTAGAAAAAATATTTTCTTACATTTTTTTCTAATTTTTGGCCGAAAAATCAAAAAAAAAAAATTGTCAAAAAACAAGAATTTCTCAAGATTTTGCCCTCAGGCAATCTTCAAATTTAGCCATAAAAATTTCTTTTTTTTTTGATTTTTTTGGATTTTTTGATCGAAAAAAAAATTTATTAAAAAATTTTTTTTTTTTTTGAAATTTTGTGAAATTTAGCCCTCAGGCAATGCTAAAATTTTTTCTGTTAGCCTAGAAAATTATTTTTTTACCTTTTTTTCTAATTTTTTGCCGAAAAATCAAAAAAAAATTTGTCAAAAAAAAGAATTTCTCAAGATTTTGCCCTCAGGCAATCTTCAAATTTAGCCATAAAAATTTCTATAGCCCATATATCTATACCTAAAAATTTTAGCTATAAATTTGAAAGCTCAGCCGAGATATTCAACAAAAAAAATCTTTTTCTGAGAGAGTATGCAAAATGAGGAGAGACAACTACAGCAAAAAAAAATCTTTTTTTTTTATTCTTTTCAACTTCAATTTAAATAAACTATTTTTTATATGAAACTTCGTCACAATTCCGGTGCTAAAAACGTTTCAAAAACTCGATCTCTGAATAACGTCCGGCAATTTTCTCAAATTCAAAAAAATACTGTTTCCAGCTGTGAAGATTTTCCGAATTATTCCGGCTTTCTATACAAAGCATGTAATTGCCGTTCCTTTCGATTTTCAACGTTCTTTTAAAATTTGTCGTCGAAACTTTTTTGAAACAAGAAATTGCGTCAAACAGATCCCACTTTTATTCGCGCGTATTTTACAGCAAAATAATGGCATTTTCAATCGAAAAAATCGTCTTTACAGAGAAACCTCTGAATAAAAAACTGCTGTAAAGCAAATTCTCTCTATTACAGACCATTTGCAACCTCTCAAGAGTCATTTTTGGAAAAAGTTCCTTATTTTGGCCAGAACAAAGGTACTCCGCGAACTGCGCCCAAGCTTGGGCACTAAAGTAAGGAAAAAACGCTTCGACCTAGCTGGCACTGAATTACTATAATAGCTCTATAGTTTTAAGGGTACCTACGAAGGCTGTGACGACTCATTTAGTTCCATACGGAGGCAATAAGTTTAGTTCCGGACATGTTTCATCGTATAAAGTGTAAAATCACAGGCTGCAGCCGTTTTTGAAGGGTAAGGTGGTACGTAAAAAAGAAGGTACCTCACTAACTAAATCCACTGTCCGGGCATTGACAACGATGAATTGAGCGTGCACGCTAAATTTGGGCAAATTCCGACCAGTTTCCGCAAAGTTATAAGTTGTGGCCAAAATAAGGAACTTTTACCTCATTTTTATATTAACCTTAATATCAGTTTGTCGGGAAAATAATAAGCAAAATCTCGCTGAACGAATCGCGTCGCTGAAGTGAAAAGCAATTTAATTTTGCCGCGACACTCATTTTTTCGGCGGCGATGCGATGTTTGATACGACAGAAAGTTCATTATTTTCCCGACAGACTGATATTTCGCAAAACCTCTCTATAACAAATATTTTTTTTGGTTCCTATACAGCATTTTTTGTCTGTTGAATTTGAAATTTTTTTGGAAGAAACACTCACCTGGACGGTATTGACTCTGCAGTTCCAGCAAATCCTGGACAACCTGAGGCTCGAGAAGGAGATGGGCGACTTCTGAAAATAAAAAAAGATATTTATAAAAAGTAAATTTTTCTGATTTTTTCTCAAATTTAAAATAAAAATAAACATTTTTTAATGTTTTTAAATTCATTTCAGATGCTACTACGCTTTTTCAAAAAGTGCGTAGACTTTCTTTTCTTAACTTTTTTTAGCTGTCCGCACTGTGCAGTTGACCTTGTGCACTGTGCAATTGAAAAATCGCAGAAAATTTCGAAAATTTGTAATAAAACTTTTTTTTTATTATTATATATTTTTTTTATTTTTCCGTTTCCAGGTGTTTACAAAATTTCTCACGCGGAAGTGTTCGAACTCTGAAATCTGAGACATTGACGCAACAGACGTGAAATTCGGCTTCATGCTACGCCAGTTTTGACCGGATGTCTCATGTTTTTTGGAAGTTTTGGACCGAGGGTTACTGTAGTTTTGAAAGTTGGACTTTCTAGACGAATGGGCAAATGTAAACAAAAATTGCGTCAGGAATTTAAATTAGAGGCTATTTGCGAAGTAATTGGAAGGATTTTATGGGTTTTGGGAGGGAAAAATGTTTTCGTGGTGGGACCCAAAATTTTTTTTGAGAAGCCGGGATTTTGCTGAAATTTGGGGAGGATGTAAAATATAGATTTTTTTAGAGGTGTTCTAAATTTTTGACCAGCGATTTTGCAAAAAAAAATTATTTTTTCTGATCGAAAAATTGGAAAAAAGCTCAAAAAATCTCATTTTTTTGATCTTCTCTGCCATTTTTTCAATAGTAAAAACTGATCTCTATCAACGTTTGAGCCTTGTAATCTCTCAGCATCTCATTTTTACATTGCTTTGCCTTTTGCGTTTTCTCGTAAAACCGAGCTCGCAGCCTTATTCCCGCTTTTTTACGGCCAAATGTCATCACATAAAGGCGAAAAAGTTTTGCCACTTCAATTTGCCGTGAAATTACGGGGCCCTTAATGACCTCATCAGAAATTTATACCGTGCGGCGCCGCTGACGGCCTCCTGGAAGCATGCATTTTATATCGGGAACGGCCTTATATGAAAGTAATTGAGAAAAAAACATATCAAGAGAGAATTTTTAGGCCAAAAAAGTGTCTTGTTTTCGTGGTGGGACCATTTTTGATCAAAAAATTTTAATTAAAAGAAAAATTTTTATAATAAATGAAAATTTTGCTTTTTTTTTAGATTTTTTATATTTTGCTGAGAGAAATTTTTGGCCAAAAAAATTCTTGTTTTCGTGGTGGGACCAAAAACTTTTTTTAAAAAATTTTTTTTCAAAATGATTTTTTTTTATTATTTTTTTATTTTTTTAAACATTTTACTCTACTATAACCTATATATATCCTATACAGAAATTTTCCGCCAAAAAAGACCATTTTTTATTAAAAAAATTAATTTTTTGAATTTTTTTTAAATGAAATTTTTAGTTTTTTTTGCGATTTTTTTGACATTTTACTTTACTATAACCTATATATAGCCCATATACAACGTACCTGGTGAGATATATTGCTGATTGGCGTTCTCCACCACCGCCGGGGCGGACTTGTCCTTGTCCTGCCGCAGGAACGCCGCCGCGTCCACGTAGTACGCGAACTGCAGCGCCAACGTGCAGCAGAGCATGAGGAGGGTCTGGGAGTTCATTTTTGAAACAAAGTTTGGAAGGGAAATGAAAACAGACGAGAGATTGGATGCGCTGGGGCCAGAGAAGGGCGGCCGGTGGACCAAGTGTTACCTGGAACGGGGTGAGGATTAATTTTTTAGTTAATTTAGGGTATAATAGTCTTATTGCAAACGCGATTAGGTTACTGTAAGGCGAAAAAAATTAAAATCAAAAAATAAAAAAATCAAAAAAATTTTTAAAAAATTCTAAAATAAAACGTATTTTAAGTTTTTGCAAAAAAAATATTTTCATTAGTTACTGCCCTAAGGACATAAAATTCAATAAAAAGTCAAAAAAATTCTAAAAACGGCACTTTGCAATTCAAAAAATCAACTGCACCGTGCAGTCCCTAAAATTGATTGCACAGTGCGGAAAACAAAAAATGCACTGTGCAATTTGTCGCGACATGGACGAAATGCACCTCAACAAAGTGCCTGCACAGTGCAAAGGCAAATTTTTGACTTTGAACTGTGCAAAAATCCCAAAGAAAATCCGCACAGTGCAAAAAATAAAAAATTTTTCCACCGTGAAAAATTTAAAAAAATGTCATTTTAGGATAGTTTAAGGGCTTGTAAGAGGCTTTACGAACAAGTAGGTAACATTTCAGTTCTTATAAAGTCATTTCTTTGCCTCCTTTTGAGAAGTTTTGTCATAACACGCCCATTCAAAAAAAGGAATAGAGTTTCCAAAACTTCCAAAAATGATATTTGAATTCCGATACTAGCTAAATGCCTCACCAGAGTCCTCAAATGCGACAGATCCATTTAAACCCCCGTTAGCCGAAGAATCTCAAAATTAACGCCGAAAAATAAAAATAAATGATGAAAACGACAAAAAAATTTGGAAATCTGATACCATAAAGGGTTTGAAGAAGACGAATAATAAGCGTGAATCTGAGCACACACGGATAATATGACATCCCCAACAATTGGGGAGCAGACACAGAAATGGGAGTGCACGGTGCGGTCAGACCAGGGGCAAGTGCACTGTGTGACCGAAAGAAAACATCATTTTGGTTTATCAAAATAAAATCTCACGTATACATGATGTGTACGGCATCCGAAACAGGTGTTTTGATGGTTTTGTCAAAAAAATTTTTTGTAATAAAAAAATTTCTGAAGTCTGTTGGGAAAATAATGAGCATTCTGTCGCCTCAAAAATCGCATCGCCGCCGAGAAAATGAATTGTGTCGCGGAAAAATCAAATTGCTTTTAGTTTCAGCGCTTGCACCGCGACATTGTGCTCATTATTTTCCCGACAGACTGATAGTAAATTTTTGACTCCCGGACAGGTTCCATCGTATAACTTGGACTATAAAATGATTTTTTTGGTAAATTGAGACATCAAAAATACTATTTCATAGAGTATTTTTTAGGTTTTCTTACAGTTTGGAAAACGCACGGTGCAGTTCGAACCAAAAACTTCTGCACTGTGCGAAACAAAACCCTCTTTTTTTGAGGGTTTTTTTCGCACCGTGCAAAAAAAAATTTTTTTCTAGTCTTTCGATAAGTCGCCGGACTGAAATCGGCGACACGCACTGTGCGAAAACAAAGCTTTTCTTTGCACTGTGCAATTTTTTGCTTTTTGCACCGTGCAAAGGCTTTTTTGGGGCTGTCGCTCGCACCCTGATTTTTTCGCACAGTGCAAACGTCAAAAACCAGTCGGGCGACTTTTTGGAAGGACTTCTCTGCACTGTGCAAAAAATTTTTTTCTCTGCGCAGTGCATCAAAAAAATCTAGTCAAAAATCAAAAAATCTCAAAATCCAAAGACTTTCTTATATATTCTTGTGCCTCCTTGTACACAGTAACATATTATTTTTGTCCACCCTCAACTTTGGACATATAACAAGCCGCGCCGACGTCGGGTAATTACATTTCACCGCAAAAAAACCAATCGACTTTGAATGGTTTGTAAACACGCCCTGAGGCATTAAAAAAAATAGCGTAAAAATTTTTTTTTCGGTACGTGGGTGCAATTTTGGAGCAAAATAAAATTGGATTCGGCTGACATTTTCCGCATTACGAACCGTTCCGGGATGAGCAGACGACCGGAAACAATCCCGATTTGAGGGTGGTTCATTACGGATTGTGGTCTGAAAAACGTGTAGGAAGACTATTTATGGAGCCAATAGCTCGTCACAAAGAGATTAGTGGTACAAAGACCGTATCTTTTTGGGTAAAAACGCGAATTTTGGGGGAAAATCGAGGAAAAGTGATGTGTTTGAGGGAAAATTTGAAAAATCAAATAAAACATTATTTTAGTATCTAGTATTTATACTGTATATAAACTCAGAGAGTTGAGGGATATTTTTGCTATCTAAATCATTGATAAAAATTAAGTGTAATATCTAAAAATTTCAAAAAGTCATCAAAAAGGGCTAAAATAAGGTGAAAATTAGAAAAAATGCCTATTACACAAAAATCACTGTAAATAGGCAGCCCAAATTGGTTGTAAATTACACTACGATGTCTCTTATTTTATATGCAAGCCATAATCCATACTAATCACTCAGTTCTCCCCACATTTTTGTCACTTTTTGACCTTGCACTAGCCTCAAAGTGAGCCTTCGAATATTGGCCCATCAAAGCGCCAATTCCAGACCAATTCGCGGCCCACATCAAACTTCCACCAGATGCCCACCTCGTCTTGGCCATAAAATTGTCCATAAATGGGCGGTTAGTCACCTTTCTGACCGCCCACGATTACGTTTTTTTCCCCGCAAATCCCCCGAAAATGGCCGCCAAAGAAGTTTAATTTTAAATTCAAGGAAGTTGGATTTGGAATTCCGGACAATCCTCAATGTCAGTCTGCTGAAGTGCTCAATGAACTGCCCCGGTTTCGAGGGCAGGAAGTGGAAGGCGACGGGCTTGAAAGTTGGAAGTGCAAAAAAAATTTTTTTTTGACAGTGGCCAAAAATCGAGTGAAAATGCGATGCAGTAGAGCATACAATATGTCTCAATAGACTTTAGAAAAATCACGCAGCACAAAAAAGACCAAGTTTTGTATTAAAAATATAAAAATTTTACAAAAATTTAAATGCACAGTGCGGAAAACTGTTGATTAAAAAATTGCACTGTGCAACGGAAGAAATGAGAAATACAGTGATGAAATTTTTTTAAATTGACCAAAATTAGTCGACAAGAACACCTGGTATGTTATTTCTTACTGCACAGTGCAAAAACTGTTCCGAAAAAAGCGCACAGTGCAGATAAAAAATGCAAAAATTGCCTTGGGCAGACAAAAATTGGGTCGAAAATTTTCATTTAGCTCATTTTTATAGCTTACTGGAAAGGACGACGCGTGTTTTACCCCTTCATTGTACCCGCTGCACTGTGCAATCCGCCAACATTTTCTTTGCACAGTGCAGATCGAAAAAAGTCTAAAATTGCCTTGGGCAAAAAAAATTAGTCTGAAAATTTTTATCGTATATTTTTTATAATCTGACAATTACTGAGCGTATTTTACCCCTTTTAAGGTCCTGCTGCACTGTGCAATTTGCACAATTTTTCTTTGCACAGTGCAGACTCGAAAAAATGATAAAACGGTCTTGGGCAACTAAAATTGAGCCAAAATTTTTTATCAGGCATATTTTTTATAATCAATTTACAAGTACAAAGCGTATTTTACCCCTTTAATGTCCTGCTGCACTGTGCAGTTTGCCCAAGTTTTCTTTGCACAGTGCTGACTCCAAAAAATGCAAAACTTGCATTGAGCAAACAAAATTGGATCGGAAATTCATATTCAGCACATTTTTTATATCTCAATGGGAGCGAAGATGCGTATTTTACCCCTTTAATATACCTGCTGCACTGTGCAATTGGCCTTTTTTTCATTGCACGGTGCAGATCGAAAAAATGCAAAAATTGGCTTGAGCAAATAAAATTTTGTCGGAAATTTATATTCAACATATTTTTTATAACTCAATGATGATTAGAGTGCTATTTGGCCCCTTCAATGTACCTGCTGCACTGTGCAATCAGCCCTTTTTTCATTGCACAGTGCAGACCCCGAAAAAGCCTACAAAACTGACTGCAGAGGGCAAACCAAGACGCCAAGACAAAAAATCTCCAGGTAACGGCTCAAAATGGCTTGAGCTTTCTCGGATCGACTTGTGAAATTTATCAGCCGCTAATGAATTCACACCCTCCGGGCATTTGAAGCAGCTTTTTCAGAATTAATGGAATAACTACCATGACTACAAATTCGCACTCGGAACAGACAAAAAAAGGGGTTTTTTGCCCTGAATCTAAAAAGATTGATGTCACTTTGTGCTCTGACAAATGAGAATTGTGGTCTTTAACCAAATTTTTTTTTGTATCTAAAAAAATTTTTTTTGCTAAAACGGGAAAATTGGGTTATATAATGAGGGCATAGGGATCTAAAAATGTAGTAAATAATTTAATAAGGCTTTTCATGGCTTACTGTAGCAACAAATTCAGAAAAATTTTAGCAAAATCATCAAAAAATCTAGTTTTTTCGAAATTTTTGGGAGAAAAACTAACAAAAAAAAATTTTTTTAGCCCGTTCATTGGTTGTGTAGAAGTTTACAGTACCGAGGAATCTCTTGAGCGACAAGGAATTGCTCTTCTCGTCTACGAACTTGCTCGATATAACGCCAACTTGTCATAAATATTCATAAAGCTTGGGAGATTGGCCTCATTCTTCCTTTTTCCCAACCCAGAAGTCACAAAAACACCTTCGTAAAGTCGGAATATTAGATTTGGCGGCCCATTCGCCGGTGCAATGCATATATTCGCCGGTAGTGATGCGATTAAATACCAAAAAACAGGGGGGTAAGTGGGTTAGGAACTACTCGGAAAAATTAGTTGGGTTTAGGTCAGAAAAGTTTGGGGAAGCTGTAGAAGTACTCGTAAAGTTTCAGCTAATTTTCTGTTAGCTTATTTGTGTATGAAAACAGCTGAAATTTTTTCAAAAAAAAAAATTTTTTTTGCACTGTGCAAAATTTAAAACATAATTTTT